ATGATCTCGGCTCACTGCAACCTCCAACTCTCGGGTTCAAGCAATTCTCCTACCTCAGCCTCCCTAGTAGCTGGGATTACAGTGGCCCACCAAAAATTACCACAACCGGGTAATTTTTGTATTTTTAGTAGAGACGGGGTTTCACCATAATGGTCAGGCTGGTCTTGAACTCCTGACCTCAGGTGATCTGCCCTCCTTGGTCTTACCAAAGTGCTGGGATTACAGGCGTGAACCACAGTGCCTGGCCACCTTTTTTTTTTCTCTTTACTTTTTTTCTACTTTTTTACCAAAATACAAAAGTTTATTGAATTTTCAGAGGATATTTAAGTAACTGTATTTTAAATTTTAAAATATTTTTGTGATTTAATCATGTTTGTTATTAAAATAATTTTTAGATGCATATACAAACCAATTGTTCATACCACATACCTGCCCCACAAGCATTTCTTCAAAGAATATAACCCCATTCAGAACATGAACTGTATCCATCTTATTTTATTTTATTTATTTATTTATTTTCCAGATGGAGTCACACTCTGTTGCCCAGGCTGGAGCGCAGTGGCGTGATCTCGGCTCACTGCAAGCTCTGCCTCCTGGGTTCATGCCATTCTCCTGCCTCAGCCTCCCGAGTAGCTGGGACTACAGGCTCCCACCACCACGCCTGGCTAATTTTTTTGTATTTTTTTTTTAGTAGAAACGGGGTTTCACTGTGTTAGCCAGGATGGTCTTGATCTCCTGACCTCGTGATCCACCCACCTCAGCCTCCCAAAGTGCTGGGATTACAGGTGTGAGCCACCGCGCTGGGCCCCTATCTTATTTTTTATAAAGACTTCAGTAAAATATATAATTTTTGAAATCTCCTTGTTTACAAAAACTTTCCTTTTTTCAAAAATTTTATTGAAAAGTTGTGGTCTGACCAGTTACTTTGTATGTCACATTGTATGCTCTTGCAGACAATTACTGACCTATGCTTTAAAACGTGAATGCTACAGATGCAGTCTGTCCATTTCTGTGATGTGTTTTTGAATAAAGTATTTTCTGTCTTAAATAGGAAAAGAAAGGAAAATAAAAATTTTAGCTTTATTCATATGGTCAATAAGTTTGTTGAAGAACAACAAATAGGTCTTTTAAAATACCCTACAAATTTCGAAATTTGACTGTTGTAATAAAACAATTTAAATTAACTCAAAACGTATTCACTGGGAGCCTGCTAGGGCTGCCTGACTTCAAATTCACACGTTTTACTTCTACACAATATTGCTTAAGGAGCTGACAGAGTTTGTATCAAATCCCAAGCATCCAAATCCTTAGTCCCAAGCTCATTCTACAACAATTACAATAAATACATATTTATCTCTGCAGGAAAATGAATAAAAATATTAGCTAATACTCAGTTATAGATCTTTGCAAGGTATGAAGCAAAGCATTTTTTTGGCATAAAAGCCATACCAAGGCCGTCATGCTGAAAACACATTCTCAATGTATAGCAAATATTCCTTTTCTTTAAAAATTTATAAAGGAATTAGTTGCAACTATCCACTCAAACTTTGGACTTTCTAAAGAAAACCAAGCAATGCTTTAAAACAAAATAGTAAAATACGATTTCTTACAAATACATAAAAATTGCTTATGTTTTATGTATTAACACATATATTGATTATCCATAAGCAGACACATTCTCTATTAAGTATAGGCAAATTTCCATAGTTGTTGGTTTTGTTAACATCTACTAATTTGAGGGGATGATAGTTACTTTCCATCAGTGACTTTCTAGGTAAAAGCTTCATGTATTATTCATTTGAACAAAGTGAACCATATCTTTGGTTTCATATGTCAGAGATTTATTTCAGAGTCTCCCACCCAATTTATGATATGACCTAAGCAAAAATGCCTAATTGTTCAATTTTTCCACAAAAGGATCATATTATCTTCATTAATATCTGAAATTAAAGAGATCTAAACATTTTTTCTGCTTGATATTAACAATCTAGATATTTTTAAACATTTGAAAGAATACACAAACTGTCAAACTTTTGAGAGAAGTATTTGTTTCTTTTCCTCATTTTCTTTGAAAAAAAAAATAGTTACACTCTTCAAGTGATAAGTAATCAGAAGCAAACCTATGTCTTCTTCTCCCATCACACAACCTATTTCCCTTTAGAAGATTAGCACATGACTTGTCCAATTTAGTGACGCTGAGAAAAGTAAGTGGATTTGCCTTGTTCAGACTGTTTTATAGCCATCTGTTCCAAGAGCATGTGGTCGCTGCCCTACTCCACCTTCTCTCCAGCCATCACAGCTGAGAGAAGACCCAAGTGTTTCTTCCTCAGACAGGTCTAAAGGACTATCATTCTCTGTCCTGGGTAAAGGCATAATAGATAGGAGGTAATGCAGTTATTTCCTTCATGGTTTTCTGCTACATCTGCTCTGTAATTCAGTTTTGGATGGGATTTTCCTAAAAACAGAGGTAGGGGAAGTATTAGGTCCTTGAAGGTGGCCACAGAGCCAGGCCAGATTTTATTTGTCTGGACAGTTGATCTCAAACACAAGAAGGAAATAATATCATTATCATATCCACAAACTCCAACATAACTATTTGTTTTTAAGCAGTCTTGTCTCATACAAATACTTTTCTAAAGAATGCCACTATTCTACTCAAAATATTTACTTTAAAATATTTTCCAATTTCTTGTGTAATGCCATCAACTTTTAGGTTAGAACAAACTGTCAAGACAAAGTTCACTGACTACTTTTACAACATGTAATGTTAACTGACATTTTCAAAGAAATATGTTTCTTGGAACAGTCTGTCCTGGTGAAGATTGAGCAGCAGATTTACAATGCACAAAGATAAAACTTTTGCATTAGCAATATCATCATAAGAATTTGAGATGTTCTTAGCCACTTGGGATGAATGGTCAGGTGGTACAGAAATACAGATATAGATTCCTCACCCGTGGGATTCAGAATATAGATAATTTACTTTCTTTTTTAAAAACTACGTTCTAACACATTTTCTATTTTGTTTTTTTTTTCCCATAATTATTGGGGGACAGGTGGTATTTGGTTATATGAGTAAGTTATTTAGTGGCGACTTGTGAGATTTTGGTAAACCCATCACCCGAGCAGTATACACTGCATCATGCTTATAGTCTTTTATCCCTTGGCCCCTTCCCACTTCTTCCCACAAGTCCCCAAAATCCATTGTGTCATTCTTATACCTTTGTGTCCTCATAGCTTAGCTCCCGCATATCACTGAGAACATACGATACTCAGTTTTCCATTCCTGAGTTACGTTACTTAGAATAATAGTCTCCAGTCTCATCCAGGTCATTGCAAATGCCATTAATTCATTCTGTTTCATGGCTGAGTAGTATTCCATCATATAAATATACCACAGTTTCTTTATCCACTCGTTGATTGATGGGCATTTGGGTTGGTTCCACGATTTTGCTATTGCAAATTGTGCTGCTATAAACATGCATGTGCAAGTATCTTTTGTGTATAATGACATCTTTTCCTCTGGGTAGATACCCAGTAGTGGGATTGCTGGATCAAATGGTAGTTCTACTTTTAATTCTTTAAGGAATCTCCACACTGTTTTCCATAGTGGCTGTGCTAGTTTACATTCTCACCAGCAGTGTAGAAGTTTTTCCCTGTTCACCTCATCCACACCAACATCTATTGTTTTTTGATTTTTTGATTATGGCCATTCTTGCAGGAGTAAGGTAGTATCACATTGTGGTTTTGATTTCCATTTCTCTGGTCATTAGTGATGTTGAACATGTTTTTATATGTTTGTTGGTCATTTGTGTATCTTCTTTTGAGAATTGTCTACTAATGTCCTTAGCCCACTTTTTGATGGGATTGTTTGCTTTTTTCTTACTAATTTCATTCATTGAGTTCATTGTAGATTCTGGATATTAGTCCTTTGTCAGATGTATACATTGTGAAGATTTTCCTCCCAGTCTGTGCGTTGTCTGATTACTCTGCTGACTGTTCCTTTTGCTGTGCAAAAGCTGTTTAGTTTAATTAAGTCCCAACTATTTATCTTTGTTTTCACTGCATTTGCTTTTGGGTTCTTGGTCATGAAATCCTTGCCTAAGCCAATGTCTAGAAGGGTTTTTCCAATGTTATCTTCTAAAATTTTTATAGTTTCAGGTCTTAGATTTAAGTCTTTAATTCATCTTGAATTGATTTTTATATAAGGTGAGAGATGAGGATCCAGTTTCATTCTCCTACATGTGGCTAGCCAATTATTTCAGCACCATTTGTTGAAAAGGGTGTCCTTTCCCCAGTTTTTTTTGTTTGTTTGTTTGCTTTGTTGAAGATCAGTTGGCTGTGAGTATTTGGGTTACTTTCTTTAATCCATCATTCCCTAAACTTACTTGATCATAGTACATGCCATTGTTTTAATTTTTATAAAGCAAAAATTAACAGCCCTTGGAACTTTTATATAAGTGAAGATTGTTTGGAAAATATTTGTTGAATTGAGTGCATAAAAATAGTCTGCTTGTTTGTAGGATTTTTTTAAACAGTAAAAGGGCAAAAGTAGCTGGTAGAAAAATGGCTTTAAAAAATAATAGAACTATTTAAAACAACAAGCTCTTTGGTTTCCTTTGTTCACTTTAATGAAGCATACCACTTTGACAGAGGCTTCAAGAGCTTTTTACAAAACTTTACATCTAATTTTTCACTACAATAATTTTCAGCTCATTTTTTCCAATGATAATTATTCACCCTCCTAGGGAGGTGATGAAAAGAAGTAGCAAGGATAAGCATAGCATGCCACTTCACGCTGGGTTAAGTCATGTCTTGGTTAAATGGGTTTATATGGAGAGTTATTACCTGTTAAATGTTTTTTCTTCCTCTTTTAACCAGAACCTTATCATTATAAAGTATGGTATTTTATTTAAATCATAAGTTTTTCTCAACAAAATGCTGCATTTGATTATAGGACAGGAAAAAGCACAATACTAAAAATATGGGGAAATGCTCACCTTTTGTGAAATCAACTTGTTTCAAAGACTGCTGGTTGAAGAAAATATTGTGAATTATTTTCTGAATGTCTTTCGGTGAGGACTTTTGCACCTACAAAAAACAGAATGTATTTTCAACTTTCATTCATAGCCTTAATCTTGCATGGATTATAAAAACACTGAATGATCAAGTAATATCAATTGCCAAGATAACATGATAGGGAAAAAATATACTTAAAGAAAATAAATTTAAAGCATTGGTATATGTGATGTCACTATGGGAATGTTAGTTGACCATGAGCCTAAAATTACACACAAATATAAAACACAAGTATGGTGAGCTGTACATAACACAGACTATTTACAGTTTCAGACTGTTTACAGATTCAGACTGCATAGTGGTACCCAGGTTGTAATATATCCATTAGGAGAAATTATAAATAATTTTGAATTTTATTTGCACTGCTTGCTCATTTATCCTTTATATTAGATTAGACATAAAGTGCATTAGACATAAAGTAGAAATAAGGTGGCAATATGTGAAACACAAATTTCTAAATTTATTAAAATTTTTATAGCACATTGCTTAATAAAGAAAGAGACCAGAAATCTAAAATAATTAAGTCATGCGTATGTCAAGACAGGAATTTGTTGTTGTTGTTGTTGTTGTTTTTTGAGATGGAGTCTCCCTCTGTTGCCCAGGTTGGAGTGCCATGGCATGCTCTCGGCTCACTGCAACCTACGCCTCCGAGGTTCAAGCAATTCCCCTGCCTCCACCTTCTGAGTAGCTGCAACTACAGGCTTGTGCTACCACACCTAGCTAATTTTTTTGTATTTAGTAGAGACAGGGTTTCACCATGTTGACCAGGATGGTCTTGATCTCCTGACCTCATGATCTGCCCACCTTGGCCTCCCAAAGTGCTGTGAATTACAGGTGTGAGCCACTGTGCACGACCCCTCGAACACCTTTTCTACATGATCCATAAAGAGCCTCCTTAAAACAGGGAAGAGTTTCAAATCCTTCTCCATTCCTCTAATCATCTATACCTTTTGTCTAAATACCATCATAAACTCAGAGGACCTATCTTTCTAGACCCCTTGCCCTTGAGGGCCTTTTATCCTTCAGAAATCTTTGGACATGCCAATTATATTCTTACTTTTCTGGTCCATTTGTATTCAGAAACTCTTGTTCATTCTTCTCTTTTATCTCTGACTTACCAGTATAATTTAGAGATCCTTTCAACTGTGTATGTCAAGATTCCCCTGCATCCGGCCAAGGCAGATGGAGTTTTGTCTTTACACAGAAAAGACTTTAATTGCTGGGTAAAACATACTTTTGGCAATACTCCCTTTGTGAAACCTAAGAAGCCTAATGGGTGTGGCTACCCATACCTCCCCACAAAAAAATAAACAATCAATCAATTCAATTATATACCAACATTCCCATCATCATAAAATCAGGCCTATTATTTGTCCTATATGATTCTGAAAGCCTTCTCTTTTCCAAAGCCCAAAGGGCTGCCGATACTTGGGTAATAAGTACTTGCTTGAGAATAGAGCTGCACCAGGGAACTCCATCCAGGGGAAACTAAGGATATCCAAGGATGCCTGAGTGCAGGTTGTAGAGCCTAGTAGGACAGGTATGCCTTAATATCCCTGACTTGACTGCACGACTGGCCTCCTACAGGATCCAGGTCCCCTGGCATCTTTCTGATTTCTTATCTGTCTTTCAGATCATGTCAAGGACAAATCTACATTACAAGCAAGACTCCTAATACCAGGACTTGTAGACTAACCAAAGGACACTCGATTGAGGTCCCTTCTCTGCACACTCTAGCGGGGGCATGACTACTGGGCCTTTTAACAGAGCAGAATCACTGGGAATCCATACCTCAGGATTTTCCCCCTTCTGATGCATCCTTAAAAACTGGAATAAATTTGACCCTTAAACCCTAAAAACAACAACAACAAACAACAAAAAAACAAATTTTACTTTACAATACCAGACGAAGCCTGGCCAAAGAACTAAAGTATGAATTTTAATACCATCCTCCAGCTGGACCTTTTCTGCCGCTATCAGGGCAAATAGTCAGAGGTCCCCTATTCAGAAACCTTCACAATCTTGTGAAAACATCTTAAAAACTTCTCAGAGGACCCCAAAAGACTCATCGAGGGCTTCCAAAAATTGACTCTTAGACTACCTTGAAAGGATATAAGTATTTTCATAGGACAAGCCCTCTCATGAGAAAAAAGATAAACCATCTATGAGGTAGCACTGTCCTGTGGGAATGACCTACACCTGGCAGACGTCAACTACCCTGAGAGAGCTACAACTGTTCCCCAGCAGGACCACAATTGGGACTACAGACAAAAATAGGGGCCAGGAACCATATGCTCCTGTGTCTAATAAAAAAATTTTAAAACTCAAGGCTATAAACTATAATAAACTAGCCACCATAGACCAGAGTAAGGCAAGAACTAAGGACCTTCACACTTCCCAATAACAAATTCTGCATTATTTTTTATAATTTTCCTTCTGTTAAATGTATAACAGTATTTGCAGCATAATTTATCTCATAATGATTCATAAGCATTATTACTTCATTAATAATATCACCCCTTTGTTGAAATATAATGGTTTTCTAGTGAGAGGTGTTACAGTTTAGTGGTTAGGAGCTCAAACTTGGACTGAATCCTAGTTCTAGCAACAGCTTGGACAAGTTAATTGCTCTATTTCCTCAAATTCTTTCCCTGTAAAGCTAAGATGAACATATGATCTACCCCACTGTGCTCCTGTGAGGATTTCAGTGGATTTAAACATGGCAAAATTTGAGAGATGGTATTTTAGTTACTATTCAGTTTCAGTAATTCTGTAATTTTTATTGTGATTCCTTAGATGTGTAACTATTCATTTCCAAACACAGGGAATTTCTAGTATTACATTAGAATTAGTATAGTCAGAGAACATAATACGTATATGTTAATTTCAGTTAAATATGTGCTTAAATATCCACTATTTTTTGGATTTATCAATTTCTTCCAGTAATTCAGTCTACTTACTTCATATATTATATGTCATATTGCTAGATGCTTAAAAGTTTAGGATTACTATATAATGGCACTTTAATTTCCATAATTATCTAATTAATAAGACTTTCAGCATTCAGATTGATGGCAGGTTAGTCCCTGTAATAAGTATATTTTATTTGGGGATTACTGTGTTAAGATATTTGGAAAATGACTAAGTTTGTATCCTGACTGCTCTATGTCAGGATTTTGTTGTTTTTTTTTTTTTTTTTTTGACGGAGTCTCACTCTGTCACCCAGGCTGGAGTGCAGTGGCACAACCCTGGCTCACTGCAACCTCCAACTCCCTGGTTCAAGCAATTCTCCTGCCTCAACCTCCCAAGTAGCTGGGATTACAAGCACTTGCCACCACACGCAGCTCATTTTTGTATTTTTAGTAGAGACGGGGCTTTACCATGTTGGCCAGGATGGTCTCGATCTCCTGACCATGTTATCCACCCGCCTTGGCCTCCCAAAGTGCCGGCATAACAAGCATGAGCCACTGTGCCCAGCCCATCTCAGGAATTTTTGACAGAAATCCAACAACTTTCACTTGAGCATCTAAAGGAGGGAAATGGGGCAGAATATGAGCCATCAGAAGTTGGAGAATGGTGATATTTGAGACAGGAGAGCCAACAAAGGAGGCTTCAAGAAAGAGGGTTTGGGTTTTTTTAGGATTGTAAAATAAGATGACAATGTTTAAAGAACCACCGAATTTACTGATTAAAATTATAACTTCAGTAGTTATTTTATAAAATCAAAACATAAGTTGGAGGTAATTTGAGTATACCAAATCAAGGCTGGTTTTTGGTTTTTGGAAAGCTTGACATTGGGAAAAGTCTAGAGAAGGTTGAAGCTTAATCATCGGGATGAATGAACTTTGGGAGTTTAGACAATGAGAGGACATAGAGGACTTAAAGGATAACATTGTAGCCTATTGAGTTTAGTGTTAAATGAGGTATAAAGTAGGATGTTCCTGAGTTGCTAATATCAGCATGTTAGAGTAGGTAGTTAGACAGATATGAGAGGGGCGGGAGAGAGCCCACCAAGGAATGTCATCAGGTGATGGTCAGGCAGTTGTTAAACTGTCTCTCTGAAATGATAACTGGTTGCAGCCAGTGCCTGGGGAAGACAGTCTCCCAATACGTAGAAAACACCTGGAGCTAGTGATCAGCAGCTTCCTGATAAGATCTCAGGAGTTGGATGAGCAGGCTCAAGCATGTGCACTCAGAGGCAAAATGGCAGATGTATGACCTTCCTTTGTGGGTATTTGACTGGTAAAGGAAAATCGCCCCTAGAGAGCATGCACACAGCCTCAGTAAATGCAAGATGCATGCAGTCACCCTCCAAAGTGCTGACTGACACCGTATATGTGGCAGTTCAGCAGCAGCCTACCCCAAGGGAAGAATTGAGGGAGGAGAAAAGAAAACCCTGGAACCATGCCAATGTATAAAACTCCAAGTCAAGGATTTAACAGGGCACTTGGGTCTCTCAAGTCACCCCCGGGCCTTTTGCCAAGTTTAGTTTGCTTCCTTTGCTCCCGCTGTAAAACTTTTCAATAAACTCTTACTCCTGCTCTAAAAGTTATCTCCATCTTTCCCTGAGCCTTAAACCTACTTCTGCTCCTTGGCCAACTTCTGTCCTCTGAGGAGGCAAGGGTTGAGTTTGCTGCCAACCTGTGTGGATTCACCACTGGTAACAAGCCACTGGGCCATGAATAAATGAGCTAAAGACTATGCTTCTATCGCATGTTGAAGAAGACTATACGTTAATGTTTTAAAATTTTTAGGCTGAGCACAGTGGCTCATGCCTATAATCCCAGTACTTTGGGAGGCTGAGGCAGGCAGATCACTTGAGCTCACGAGTTTCAGACCAGCCTGGGCAACATGGAGGAACCACATCACTACAAAAAGTACAAAAATTAGCCAGGCATGGCGGTGTGCGTCTGTAGTCCCAGCTACTCAGAAGACTGAGGTGGAAGGATGGCTTGAGCCTGAGAGGTGGAGGATGCAGTGAGCCAAGATCAAGCCGCACTCCAGCCTGAGCA